GATGGGATTCAGTTTCACAATCACATGCAAAGTGATGTCCCTGTGATAGACGATGAAGTACAGGGTGCAGAAGTTCACTTTCCCACAGCAAGGGATGACGCAGTTGATAGTGAAACTGGCCAGAGCCAGGTGCACGATGAGTCAGGAAAGGAAGACAGTTGTTCTCAGCCAGATAATGAGCAAGAAAGCACTAACGAACAGATTGACCTTGATTTATTTATTTATTTATCGTGTCACCAGCAATCATACCATTGTATGACATTTCTAACAGAACAAAACAAAGTAGATTAAAAACAAAAAACAAAAACAAAAAACCCACAGATTTTGCAAACTTGGTAGTTGGTTAAATGTCCTTTGACCAGTATCTGGCCACTTGGAGTGCCTCTGGTGTTGCCGCAAGAAGGTCCTCCCTTGTGCATGTGGCAGGGCTCAGGGTGCATTGCAGCAGGTGGTCAGTGGTTTGCTCTTCTCCACACTCGCATGTCGTGGATTCCACTTTGTGGCCCCATTTCTGAAGAAGGTTGGCTCTGCATCTCGTGGTGCCAGAGCGCAGTCTGTTCAGTGCCTTCCAGTCTTCTGTGTGCCTAGGGGGAGTCTCTCATTTGGTATCAGCCATTGATTGAGGTTCTGGGTTTGAGCCTGCCACTTTTGGACTCTCGCTTGCTGAGGTGTTCCAGCGAGTGTCTCTGTAGATCTTAGAAAACTATTTCTAGATTTAAGTCGTTGACGTGCTGGCTGATACCCAAACAGGGGATGAGTTGGAAATGTCTCTGCCTTGGTCCCTTCACTACTGGCTGCTCCTTTCCGGCGGATGTCAGGTGGTGCAATACCGGCTAAGCAGTGTAATTTCTCCAGTGGTGTAGGGCGCAGACACCCCGTGATAATGCATCATGTCTCATTAAGACCCACATCTACTGTTTAATGTGGTGATATGTGTTTCACACTGGACATGTGTACTCAGCAGCAGAGTAGCAAAGCGTAAGGGCAGATGTCTTCACTGTGTCTGGTTGTGATCCCCAGGTTGTGCCAGTCAGCTTTCGTATGATATTGTTTCTAGCACCCACTTTTTGCTTGATGTTCAGGCAGTGCTTCTTGTAGGTCAGAGCACAGTCCAGAGTGACTCTCAGGGATTTGGGTGTGTATTGACCTTGATGAAGAAGAAATTTTAGATCGAGTTGGCCGTTTGGAATTCAAGGTTTGAAGGAGTGTGAGAATTGCTAACAAGAGGGAGGCCAAGGGTCAGAGAAACGCCTTCATGTTTTGCAAAGGGTATTAAACAGGCTGTTTGAAAATATCCCAGTGTAGGAGCAACTTCCCGTTTCAGTCAAGAGGCTTACATTTGTTTACCTGGATTTAGCTGGCAGTTTTCATGTTCATGTTTTCATGGGACTTTTCTTTGCTGGTGCCTTTGTGGATCTTGCTTTCAAGTGTTACCTTGTTTTGGTCTTTGAAACATTACTTTTGCTTTTATGATCTCTTTATCTTTTATTTTTAATAAACCATAAAGACTACAGGCTGTGTGCTGTTTGGTGTCTTAAGCAAGGTGATTCTACTCTGAGGTGCGACAAGGACTCCAAGGACTCCATGATCTTTTCACACGTCCTGCTGTTGAGTCAGGCATCATCGCCCCCCATTCTGTCCCTTTGCATTTCCTTTTTTCATTTTTATAGAACCTATCTTGTTTGTAACTTGGGGACGAGAGCCTTCAAGGTGCAGAGAGCCAACAACCACACCAGGTGCCACGTGGAAGCCCCTTGGCAAAGGTGGAGAGTGGACTCCCCAAACAGCAATGCCGGTGCCTCCCTTCCTCTTCCTCCTCCCCGCAACATGGGTCTTTCCATTGGGCGAAGGCCTGTTGTCCAAGGGAAATTGCTTATTGATCTTATTCAGGATGGCAGCCTGTCAAATGCTGCCTGGCTACATCCACCGGGCCCCCCGAGGCGTTGTGGAAACAAATCCATTGACGGCTGGAATGGAATGAGTGGCCGGAGCCAAGTTTCGGAGAGCGGCCGCCCTGCTTCTCACGCTCAGGAAGGCGGACACTGGACCAGAGCCAGTCTGGCCTGCTGTCATTCCCACTGCCTTTCCTGTGTTCGAAAGCAAAATCAGGCCGCCACTGAACAAAGTGGGAAGCAGTTATTTCAGTTGTGTTGGCGACGCAGGCAAGAGAAGGGAGATAGTAGTCCTCTTACATAGAAGGAAATGTGGCAGTTGAGTCATTCATCCAATGGGAAGAGAACGGATCTGCCGATGGTGCAGAACTGCAAATCCCATTGTCCCCTTATCAGGATGACCAATGGTGTTAGGGATTCCTCGTCTTCAGAAGAGGAAGGGGAGCAGGAAAGTGTTCAGGATTCAGAAGGGCAGTTAGAATCAGAAGATGAGGTTTTGCAAGTGCCCACATTCCTGGAAAGGTGAAAGGAAACCTAGAATAGCTGCTAGAAACACCGAGCTAATTGGGAGACTCCCTAGCACCTCCTGCATGGGGAATTCAGGTCTATGAATCAGAAGCAGGAGCAGTTCACTTTCGTTGGTAACAAACGACTCTGATGCTTATGCTTTTGCTCCAATTGTACCAGCTTTGAGTCTGCTTCTAAGGATTTAGTGGTCATTGCCCAACGTTGTCTGATGTAAGACTGCTGTTTCTTTTGGACTTTATCAGAGACTTGAGTATTATGTCTGCATTAAAGACTTCCTTCCTTTCTTTTGCATTATACAACTGCGTGTGCTGTTCTCTTGAGTTTGCTGAAGTAAAGCATTCTTCATTTACTTTCAACGTGGTATTAAGGCTGTTCTTGGAAGGCAAATCAGGACAAATGGGAAGGAGAACACAGATTTGGAAGTCCAGCAACATGGAGACAATTCTCACACTATTTCTTCTCCTGTGTTATCCCCGTCGATAATTATTTATTTGATCCGTGTTTTTAGAATTATAATGCTCTGCTGCTGGGTCATTTCCACTGGTGAAAACCACCAATATTGGTCTGTAGGGCATTGCGCCATGCGTGCCTGGCGTTTAATACATTCCAGCAACTCCGTAATGGGGAGGAACTCCATGGCGGGAGGAAACAGAAATTGTGGGATTTTGTTGTATTTTTTGTGGGAGGAGAGTATCAGAGATGGCAGAGGCAACACAACACTGAGGTTGGGTGCAAACTATAGGAAAAACGGAGTGAGGAAAAAGCAATGACCTGCCCAAGGCTCAGGCAAGATCAGAGAGCTGCTAAGAGGGACATCCAGCCTCTTTGGTGCGTTGACTCTGCATTTCCTCTGCTTTGACTCTGCAGAAGGGAGTTGAATGGATGGTTTTTGGGGATCTCTCCCAACTCTATTATCAATACTGTTATTATTCATATTACTATTGAGGATGGATGGCCATCTGTCAGGGTTGCTTTGATTGTGCTTTTCATGCCTGGCAGAAGAGGGTTGGCCTAGATGGACCATGCAGTCTCTTCCACCACCACCACTACCACCATCACCACCAACATCATTATTGAGGTTGGACTGCCATCTGTTAGGGTTACTTTGATTGTGCTTTTCCTGCAAAGCAGAAGGGGGTTGGACTAGATGGACCATGAGGTCTCTTCCACCATCACCACCACCACCACCACCACCATCATTGAAGTTGGATGGCCATCTGTCAGGGTTGCTTTGTTTGTGCTTTTCCTGCAAGGCAGAAGGGGGTTGGACTAGATGGACCATGCAGTCTCTTCCATTATCATAATCATCAGCAGCATTGAGATTGGATGGCCATCTGTCAAGGGTGCTTTGATTGTGCTTTTCCTGCAAGGCAGGGGGTTGGACTAAATGGACCATGCAGTCTCTTCCATTATCCTCCTCCTCCTCCTCCTCGAGGTTGAATGGCCATCTGTCAGGGGTGCTTTGATTGTGCTTTTCCTGCAAGGCAGAAGGGGGTTGGCCTAGATGGACCATACAGTCTCTTTCATCATCATCATCATCATCATCATCATCATCATCATCATCAAGGTTGGATGGCCATCTGTCAAGGGTGCTTTGATTGTACTTTTCCTGCATGGAAGAGACTGCATGGTCCATCTAGTCCAACCCCAATTCCATCATCATCATCATCATCATCATCATAATCATCATCATCATCACCATCGAGGTTGGATGGCCATCTGTCAGGGGTGCTTTGATTGTGCTTTTCCGGCAAGGCAGAAGGGGGTTCGACTAGATGGTTCATGAATTCTCTTCCAACTCTATGATGATGATGTTGGAGCCACCAGTGGCACAATGGGTTAAACCCTTGTGCCAGCAGGACTGATGATTGAAAGGTCAGCATATCGAATCCGGGGAGTGGGGTGAGCTCCTGTCTGTCAGCTCAAGCTTCTCATGCGAGGACATGAGAAAAGCCTCCCAGCAGGGTGGTAACACATCCGGGCACCCCCTGGGCAATGTCCATGCAGACAGCCAGTTCTCTCACACCAGAAGCGACTTGCAGTTTCTTAAATTGCTCCTGACAAGAAAAAAATATGATAAGGAGGATGATGATGGCTGGATGGCCATCTGTCAGGGGTGCTTTTTCCATCAGCCCACTTTGGTTGGGATTCAATGTTTACTTTTAAGCTCTTTTTTGTATTTATCTTTGAATTATTGTATGTTTACTTTTAAGCTTTTTTATTGTATTTCGATTTGAATTACTTCTAAGCTTGTTATTGTATTTATATTCGGATTATTATCTCATGTTTATTATTGTATTTTTAAATTGATATGTTAATTGTTTAAAGTCATATGTTATGTTTATTATTATATGTGTAATGCGGCATTGTATGCCATGGATTGTAAGAAGGGTGGGGTTTAAATGTAGTCTAATAATAATAATAATAATAATAATAATAATAATAATAATAGTGCTTTTCCTGCAGGGAGCCTTTTGCCTCCCCTGTCCAGCACCAAAAGAAGCCTCCTTCTCTTCTCACACACACAGAACTCACAAAAGAAAAAGATGACACTACGAATTCTGCAAGAGCAGTTCTCACCGGATGAGGCAGCCCGGCTCGTCGGTCAGGAAGGACCACCGGTACTTGACGTGAAGGGGGCTGCAGTTGGTCATGATGACGTCGCGGATCATTTCGGTGTCGTTGAGGATGCAGCCAAAGTCCAGGTCCAGGGTCTGGAACTGGAGGTTTGGGAAGTAGACCTCTCCCCGGAGGCTGATGTGGTCGATGTGGGGGTGCTCCAGGTAGCGGATGGTCAGGACCTCCTCAGCCGCACGGTTGTACAGATCGTCCTTGTAGAGGGGGTCAAACCGGACACAGAGGTGCCGCGTCTCCCCAACCTCCATCGGTAAGGGCTGGATTGGAGAAGAAGCAAGAGGCACCATGAATGCGTATGCCTGAAACAATCTGTTAAAGAAAGAAACACCTTTTTAAAGGAACTAAGTTTGAGACCTGTTTGTTAGAAGAATTAGTCCTCCTAAGAATTATTTAAGAACTGTTATGAATGTAACCTTTGAAGATCTGTACCTCTAAGAGAAAGGAAAGTTTGAAACCATCAAGCTTCTGTACATCAATAAACTTGTGACAGTTTCTTTTTAAAGTCAAGACTATGTTACAATTCCTTTCCAAGTGAAGTCACGCTACATATTGAAGAAAGACTAAATCCATATTACAAGCTATTGGTTGTGTTATCAATATTGATAACTGGTAACAGAAGCCACCTCTTTGTGAGGGCTTATTATATAATAAGCCCTCACAAAGAGGTGGCTTCTGTTACCAACTCTCTACATATTGGTAGCAGTTATATTTATACATCCTTACAATTTGGTGGCACCATTGCAAATTAGTGGCCAAGCTTCTACAATTAGAAGCAGGAATATATGGGCTCCTTCACACCATCACTCATAAAAAAACACTGAAAAACACAGCGGAAGGGACTTAAAAAGCAAAAAAAAGGGAAAAGATGCTACAGCGCATGCGCAAAAACAACTCCCCAGCAAACAAAACACACAATAGCATATTCACACTTGCTTCCAGACTACAGCTCCCAGCATCCCCTAGACAAGGCTCTTTGGGAGAGGAGGGTGGTCCAAATGCACTGCTTCCAAGATGTAAGCTTTCTTCTCCTTGGATTTCTTTGAGAGCATCCCAATATCTGCATAATTCCAATTTCCTATTCTCGGACGGCAACTCCCAGCGATCCTCCAGATAGCAAGATTACATAGAGATAGGTAGGTAGGTAGATTGATCAGGAGGACTGCTGGGAGTTGTAGTCCAAGAATAGGTAGAGTAGGAAGAAAGGGGAGAAAGAGGGAAAGAAAAGGGGGGAAGGAAGGGAAGAGGAAGAGGAAGAGGAAGAGGAAGAGGAAGAGAAGGAAGGAAGGAAGGAAGGAAGGAAGGAAGGAAGGAAGGAAGGGAAAAAAAGGAAGGAGAGAAAGAGGGAGGGAAGGATGGCCACAGCAACGCGTGGTGGGTACAGCTAGTATAGCTATTATAAATCCCAGTACTCCTGAGAAAAATGTATAATATCACAAAGGACGACCGTCTCACCCGCCTCATAGGAAACCTGCTACAAAACAGGAGCTTTTTTGTTGAGTTCCAGGGTCAGAGAAGCAGATGGCGGAAACGGAAGAGCGGCCTGAAAGTGCCTGATAGCAACCTGTCCCTCTGAAAATGGATGAAAGAACATTTTTGAGGTCCAAACAGTCTTCATGGCAGCGTCTCTCCGTACCTGGTGAGGTGCTGTCAGCTTTTCGTGGTCAGTGTCGCAGAGGCAGAAGGGTTCTTGCAACGAGAGGAAGAGGCTGAGTGGCAAAGGCGAGACGTTCTTCAAGGCCAGGGGCTTGTACTGGGCCTCCAAGACATCCCTGGGGTTCTGCAGGAAAAAAAGAGGAAGCCAAAAGCATTGCATGTTTTAGTATGCAATTATATAGATGTGTTTAACCATGCTGTGCTCCACGTTGAGCCAGAAGGAGAAATTGGTAATAAATCACCATAATCAACAGGCTTCATAGACCATAAACCACTGCCTCCTCCTGAGAAAAATGTATAATATCACCAAGGACGACCACCTCACCCGCCTCATAGGAAACCTGCTACAAAACAGGAGCTTTTTTGTTGAGTTCCAGGGCCAGAGAAGCAGGTGGCGGAAACAGAAGAACCGCCTGCCTCAGGGGAGCGTGCTTGCTCCATCCATGTTCAACATCTACACAAATGACCAGCCACTGCCAGAAGGGACAGAGAGCTTCATCTATGCTGATGATCGTGCCATAACTGCTCAAGCAGGGAGCTTTGAGATGGTAGAACAGAAGCTCTCCAAGCTCTAGGTGCTCTTACTGCCTATTACAGGGAAAACCAGCTGATCCCTAACCCATCTAAAACACAGACATGTGCCTTTCACCTTAAGAACAGACAAGCATCCCGAGCTCTGAGGATTACCTGGGAAGGAATCCCACTGGAGCATTGCAGCACACCCAAATACCTGGGAGTCACTCTGGACTGTGCTCTGACCTACAAGAAGCACTGCCTGAACATCAAGCAAAAAGTGGGTGCTAGAAACAATATCATACGAAAGCTGACTGGCACAACCTGGGGATCACAACCAGACACAGTGAAGACATCAGCCCTTGCGCTATGCTACTCTGCTGCTGAGTATGCATGCCCAGTGTGGAACACATCTCACCACGCTAAAACAGTGGATGTGGCTCTTAATGAGACATGCCACATTATCACAGGGTGTCTGCGCCCTACACCACTGGAGAAATTACACTGCTTAGCCGGTATTGCACCACCTGACATCCGCCGGGAAGTAGCAGCCAATAGTGAAAGGACCAAGGCAGAGACATCTCCAGCTCATCCCCTGTTTGGGTATCAGCCAGCACGTCCACGACTTAAATCAAGACATAGTTTTCTAAGACCTACAGAGACACTCGCTGGAACACCTCAGCAAGCAAGAGTCCAAAAGTGGCAGGCTCAAACCCAGCACCTCAACCAATGGCTGACACCAAATGAGAGACTCCCCCCTGGGCACACAGAAGACTGGGCGACTTGGAAGGCGCTGAACAGACTGCGCTCTGGCACCAAGAGATGCAAAGCCAACCTTAAGAAATGGGGCCACAAAGTGGAATCCAGATAATCTAGTTCAAAGCAGGTAAATCTGGAAGTTATATGGCAGTGTAGAAGGGGCCTTGGAGAGCAGCCTTAGGATCAAAGTACTGACCTTTTCCACTCGGAAAGTGATCTCTTTGGAGGAGATCTGGAGCACGGGGGCGATGAATTGGCAGGAGACGTCGACCGTCATGATGCACTCCTTCCCAGACTGCTTCCCTATGATGGCGTGGCAAATCAGCCTCTCCTGGATGACCTGGGCACGGAGGGAGAGATCACATGTCAGGGGAAAAAATGGCAGAGATAGGTGCGTGTTTTATAGTTTCCTCCTTCCTCTATCACGCCTTCCCTACGCTGCACATTGCACTGATTGACTCAGGGCAAGCTATAAAAATCAACCCAAACATTGCAGAGTCTTTAATCAGTAGTTAGCAGAGTTTTTTTCTGCATGGCCTCTGACTTTGTGCTGCTCACTGTTTTCAGAAAACACTTTGGTTTTCATCTAAACTCATAATGCTTAATCTTGCTTATGTAGAGCTATATACACATCAAGATGCCCTGATCTCCTATTGGTATACATAGAGATATACTAATGACAGCAAGAAGTGAGAATAATGGCAAGAGATGCATGGCACATGCTTGCTACTTACTTCTATACACATAGCTTCTCACCATCAAACAGAGACAACAGGAAATGATACAATTCTCATCATGCCTGTCACACAGCCATGACTCAGTTCCACATCACCACCTACTTAACCCTTCGGTGGGTGTGTGACCACATGTCCATTAGAACTGTATTTTCCCATCCAGTTACAGACAATGCATTTCTAATGATACAATTCTCATCATGCCTATCACACAGCCATGACTCAGTTCCACATCACCACCCACTTAACCCTTCAGTGGGTGTGTGACCACATGTCCATTAGAACTGTATTTTCCATCCAGTTACAGGCAATGCATTTCTAATGATACAATTCTCATCATGCCTTTCACGTGTTCATGATTCAGTTCCACATCACCACCCACTTAACCCTTCCATGGGTGTGTGACCACATGTCCATTAGAACGGTATTTTTCCATCCAGTTAAAGATAATACATTTCTAATGATACAATCATCATAATGCCTATCACATGGCCATGACTCAGTTCCACATCACAACCTACTTAACCCTTCCCTGGGTGTGTGACCACATGTCCATTAGAACGGTATTTTTCCATCTAACAGTACATTATCTACCCAACATCACGGTCAGTGCCCAGAATGGAAGCTAGGGACAACACAAGTGGGTCAGACGAGCAGTTTCTCCTTCTGCCTGCCCTTCAAGATCCTATTGTTGACATCCAGCTCAGGAGAAGAAGCTGCTTCTGTTCAGCATAACTTTTTGCTTTCTGAATACAAATTGCCTGACGCCAGTTGCATAATTTCCCCCGACATCGAGAGGAAAAGGTTCTCTTCGAGGTCTTCTGCAGCTCATTAATTATGCATTTAAATGTTTAAAGGCAAATATCTTAGTCCGTGTGCATCACAAACTCCCATCCTGGACCAACAACCGCAGAAAGGTCTGAAACCCAAGCGTCCAGTCTGGAAACAACCAAAACAGAAGACATGCTTGCAGCGAAAACACAAATCCAACAACCAAGGAACAAAACTGGGAGGCACTGGAGCTTGGATCAGGCCCCACTCGTCTCGTTTGTGTAATGAGGACGGCTTCTGCTTCAATGGCATTTGGAAGCAAAGCATATGGTCGCTATAGTAACAAGCAGGAAGCTCTAATGATGTGGTTACGGCATCTTTTGATGCTCCGAGCAACCCTTGGAAGCAGCTGCTCGTTTGAGAAGGCAATTAAGGAAGAATGTGCAATGCTTCCCTGCAAAAGGGAAATATGGGCCAGAGCTCCTCTCTAGGTAAAGGTTAAGGTTTCCGCCTGACGTTAAGCCTAGTTGTGTCCGACTCTGGGACTCTGGGGCTCATCTCCATTTCTCAGCCAAAGAGCCAGCATTGTCCATAGACACCTCCAAGGTCATGTGGCCACTGGCATGAGTCTATCATTCTATGAGTAAGATTCTAAGAGTCTAAGGTTCTATCAGTCTATGAGTTTAAGGTTCTATGTGTCTATGAGTCCATGATTCAATGAGTCTATCATTCTATGAGTCTATGGTTCTATGAGTCTATGGTTCTATGAGTCTATGGTTCTATGTGTCTATGAATCTATGATTATATGAGTCTAAGATTCTATGAATTTATGAGTCTATCATTCTATGAGTCTATCGTTCTATGAGTAAGATTCTAAGAGTCTAAGGTTCCATGATTATATGAGTCTAAGATTCTATGAATTTATGAGTCTATCATTCTATGAGTCTATCGTTCTATGAGTAAGATTCTAAGAGTCTAAGGTTCCATCAGTCTATGAGTGTAAGGTTCTATGTATCTATGAGTCCATGATTTTATGAACCTATCATTCTATGAGTAAGATTCTAAGAGTCTAAGGTTCTATCAGTCTATGAGTCTAAGGTTCTATGTGTCTATGAGTCCATGATTCTATGAGTCTATCATTCTATGAGTAAGATTCTAAGAGTCTAAGGTTCTATCAGTCTATGAGTCTAAGGTTCTATGTGTCTATGAGTTCATGATTCTATGAGTCTATCATTCTATGAGTAAGATTCTAAGAGTCTAAGGTTCTATCAGTCTATGAGTCTAAGGTTCTATGTGTCTATGAGTCCATGATTCTATGAGTCTATCATTCTATGAGTAAGATTCTAAGAGTCTAAGGTTCTATCAGTCTATGAGTCTAAGGTTCTATGTGTCTATGAGTTCATGATTCTATGAGTCTATCATTCTATGAGTAAGATTCTAAGAGTCTAAGGTTCTATCAATCTATGAGTCTAAGGTTCTATGAGTCTATGAGTCTAAGGTTCTATGAGCATGATTCAAGTCAATCATTCTATGAGTCTATTATTCTATGAGTCTATCATTCTATGAGTCTATGGTTCTATGAGTCTATGGTTCTATGAGTCTATGAGTCTATGATTATATGAGTCTAAGGTTCTATGAGTTTATGAGTCTAAATGAGCCTATCATTCTATGAGTAAGATTCTAAAAGTCTAAGGTTCTATGAGTCTATGGTTCTATGTATCTATGAGTCCATTATTCTATGAGTCTATCATTCTATGAGTCTATGGTTCTATGTGTCTATGGTTCTATGCGTCTATGGTTCTATGAGTCTATGGTTCTATGTGTCTATGAGTCTATGATTATATGAGTCTAAGATTATATGAGTTTATGAGGCTATGGTTCTATGAGCCTATCATTCTATGACCCTATCATTCTATGAGTAAGATTCTATGAGTTTATGGTTCTATCACTTTATGAGCCTATCATTCTATGAGCCTATCATTCCATGAGTAAATTCTGACTCTATGGTTCTGTGTCTATGAGTCTATGGTTCTATGTGTCTATGTGTCTATGAGTCCATGACTCAATGAGTCTATGATACTATGAGTCTATGACTCTATGAGCCTATAATTCTATGAGTAAGGTTCTATGAGTATATGGTTCCATGAATCTCTGGTTCTATGAGTCTAGGTTCTATTTGTCTATCATTCTGTAAGATTCTATGAGTCTATGGTTCTATCCATCTATAAGTCTATGAGTCTAAGGTTCTATGAGTCTATGATTCTCTCATTCTATGAATCTATGGTTCTATCAGTCTATGAGTCTACAGTTATATGAGTAAGATTTTATGAGTCTATGGTACTATCAGTCTATGAGCCTATGGATCTATGATTCTATGAGTCTTAAGATACTATGATTCTATGAGCCCGTGTTGGTCTGGTCCTACCTTGGGGGTGTCGGAAGAGCCCTCCAGCTGCATGTCCAGGCTCTGTCCTGGGGTGAGCTCCATCCGGAGTGGCCGGAGCTTGAAGACAGGGAAGGGGGAGTCGTCCTTGGCCTGACGAGAGGGGCCCGTGCCACGGGCGGAGGGGCCAATGGCGGGCAGGCTGGCAGCACGCAGGCGGAAGGGGCGGAAGCCTTCGGTCATCCAGTAGAGCTGGTGGGTGCGGCGCCCACGGTTGGTGATCCGGAAGCGGTAGAAGCAGGGGTCCAGGCTGGGGGAAGGGCAGAGGAAGGGCAAAGGTCAATAACATGGTGGCAATGGGCAGAAAGCACACTGTTGCTCATTGAAAGGATTGGCATGCTGTCCTGACATCTATATATATAAAATGGGAAAGGGCGTTCAACGGGACAGCAAAACGCGAAAAAACTCTGACAAAAACTCACCAAATTTGCCGTGCACATACCTCAACCCACAAGGTATGCACAACACTCATCAAAATTCCAAACAACATTTCAACAAACTCACAATTACAAAAACCAACTGAGCATGCGCAGTGCCCAGGGGAAGGAGGAGGATGGGAAAGAACGGAGAAAGGAAGGAAAGAAAGGAAGGAAGGGAGGAAGGGAGGGAAGGTGTATGAAGAAAGGAAGGAGAAGTTGAGAAGGTATATGAAAGAAGAAAGGTAGGAAAGAAAGAATACAGAGAGAGAAGAAGGATGGGAAAGAAGGGAGAAAGGAAGGAAGGAAAGGAAAGGAAAGAAAGATAGAAAAAAAGAAGAAAGGGAAGGGGAAGGGAAGGAAGGAAGGAAGGAAGGAAGGAAGGAAGGAAGGAAGGAAGGAAGGAAGGAAGCAAGGAAGGAAGGAAGGAAGGAAGGAAGGAAGGAAGGAAGGAAGGAAGGAAGGAAGAAGAGAAAGGAGGGAAGAAAAGAAAGAAAGAAAAGGAAGTCTGGAAGTCAAGAGCGAAGGAAGGAAGGAAAGAGATAGAGAGGGAAGAAAGGAGAGAAAGAGGAAGGAAAATAAAAAGGGAGGAGGAAGGAAAGAGGAAGAGAAGGAAGGAGGAGAGAAGGAAAGAAAAAAGGGAAGGGAGGAAAGATGGAGCAAAGGAAGAAGAGAAAGAAGGAGAGAAAGAGGGAGGGAAAGAAAGAAATAAGGAGAAGGAAGGATGGGAGCAAAAAGCTAAGGGAGGAAGTAAACAGGTAGAGAAGAAAGGAAAGAAGAAAAGGAAATGAAGGAAGGAGTGAAAGAAGGAGAGAGAGGGGGAGAGAAGGTTGCCACAGCAACGCGTGGTGGGTAAAGCTAGTATAAATATACTTGGATTAACTCAAGTCTAATGTGCCATCAAATCTAATGCGCAGCTCCACTTTCAAAACCCTGAAACTCAAAAAAGTATTTGCAGGCGAATGTAATGTGCAACAAGCAGCAAAAAATGCACTCTCTGTCATTTGGCCAAAATAGGTATGCCTTAGATCCTAGCATCGCATCGCATTCTGCCATTGCAATTGAATTAGAGATGAAGACCCTCCAAGAGGAGTTGCTTGTGCTCCGGAAACAGCTTCCCCTTTTGGTTCACCACTGAGATGACCATAGTGTGCAAATCTAATGCACACTCTAATTTCGGAAAGCTCATTTAGCCCCAAAAGGAGAGCATTAGAGTCAAGTAAACACTGTATCTCTGGGGTGGAAACAAAACGAAACCCATAACATCAGGCAATGTCAGGATTATTTGGTTATGCATGTGTGTTTTTCAATGTGTTTCTATGTATTTCAAGGTGGATTCTATTCTGTTCAGTTGTGTATTAGAAATATTGTGCTGAGACAGAGAAAATGTAACCTTGACAGAAATGAGATAACGTGTTCTCTGGCTGGGAAGAAGAGGGAGGATCTGGTCTCAGCCAGAAGTCAGATAAGCAGATGTTCAGAGACTGTTGTTTTTGCCTAGTGGTTCCTGTCTGTTGCTTGCTGTGAATGGACGTGTATAGATGTACTTAGTAAACTTAGTTTTCTGTTGTAACTAAAAGCTTGCAGAGTCCTGATTTCTGAAATACAGTGTCTGCTGATCTAGCAATCCTTCCGCTGCCAAAGTTTCAATATCTGACAGTCAAGACCACCACCCAGGCAGGATCGTCCAAAACAACTTAAAAGTAAACATTGAAAGAAATTCAGTAAAGACCAAACACATTTCAAAGCCTGCGGCCACAAAAAAACATTATGACAGGCTCCACCACATTGGCCTTTACCCCGAAATGACAATATCTGTGGGATGACTGAGGCAACTGCTTTATCAATGGCCCTGCCTCCAGCCATTCGTAAGCTCAGTGTGTCCAGGGAGGACATACGAGTACACTATATAACAAAACTTGAAACATTTCCTGTTTTTGTTTTGAAAGTGTTGCTCCTGTTTAGTTGTGTGGTCCTGACTTTGAAAGTAGTTGTTGTCAGTGTGTAATTCATGTATGGTGTTTAAATGTAATTTCATGTGATAGGATTGTGATTGTAATAGAATTGTATTGTCAGGATGTATTTTGATACAGAAGGGTTAAATAGAAAAGTAACAAGCTGTGAGAATGTGACCCTGAGTTCTTGCTCTGTGAAAGATTAGGGAGTGCCAGAGATAAACCTCCTTCCAGCTGCAGTTTGTATTAGTTCCTATCTCTTTCAGTTTGTGTTCTTCACATCTGTCCGTTGATGGTGTATGTTGTCTATTTGGAGCTGCTGAAAAACTGCTTTTACCGGAGACTCCAGAGTCCATTATTCTGAGCTTCTGCGATACTCTGCTAACGCTAACAGTTGTTACATTCCAGAAACTTTGTTTTTGTGGCTAGGCTGCCACAAACAAGGTTGAATTGATTTGCGAAACTAGTGTAAAATGTGCTATGGCAGGATGATGTCCCTCCCGCAAAAACAAAGTTTTGGCAGTTTAATAAACTTTCCCCATGTTTTTATAACACCCGGAGGGCCGAAGTTTGCCCAAGTCTGGTATATAATAATAATAATAATAATAATAATAATAATAATAATAATACAAAACAGACCTCTATACAACTTGGATTGATTACTGCGCTAGTACAGCTGTACCAGAAGCCTACATTTCCTTTCTATGCATGTGTTTCTTTGGCCATGCATTTTGCAGTTGGGTGGTTCCTTCCAGGCTGCAGCCATAGGGCCAGCCACCTGCCTATCACTGTTAAGTTCTTTAGTTCCGCCCCTTTCCCCAGGGTTCTGGGGAAGAGAGAGAGAAAAGGAAGGACCGACGGGAGGAAGGAAGGGAGGAGAGAAAAGGAAGAGAGGGAAGAAGAAAGGGAATAAGGGAGGAAGACAGGGAGGAGGGCAAGGAAAAGTAAGGAGGGTAGGATGGAAAGAAGGAGAGAGAAAACTAAGTAAGGAAGGAAGGAAGGAAGGAAGGAAGGAAGGAAGGAAGAAAAAGGAGGGAAGAAAGAAAAGGAGGGAAGGAAGGGAATGAGAGGGGAAGACTGGGAAAGAGGAAGGGAATATGGAAACATGGAAGGAAGGAGAGAGAGAAAAAGAAGCAAGGGAGGAAGGAGGGAGAAATAGGGAAAGGAAGGAAGGAGAAAGAGAGAAAATCAAGGAAGGAAACCAGGGAATGAAGGAGGAAAACAGGGAGGGAAGAGAGAAAGGAGAAGGAAGGAAGGAGAAAGAATAAAAGGAAGGAAGGAAGGGAAAAGAAAGTTTTTTAGTTCAGTCTTACAGTTTGGAAGCTCAGTTACAGGACGTGAGAGCTTTTCCCACCTGTAGAGAAGCTCTGTTTCTTACAAGGCTCCGGGGGGAAATTGTCCCAAAGCTTCTGGGGAAGACAGTTCTCAAAGCTCTGGCTGGGGAACTTACAGCCTCACAGCTCTACAAGCCTCTGGGGAAGACAGCCCTAAAGCTTCTGAAGAAAACAGTTTTACAGATCCAAAGGTCTCCAGATGGAAAATCTCTAAAGTTTTGGCCGGTAAGGTTTACTTGGGTACCCAAAAAGCAAATTGGAACCGGGAGTAAGGCTCCACACCAGCCAGCCTAAAGACAGATTGCCCAGGGAGGGGTCAGAGGATTTTCCTTGTAAAAGAAAGAAAAAGTTCACAAAGAAAGCTTTCCAAGTTTCTAAAGATTTTGTTTAGGAAAATCCACAGGGCCTCTCAACCGAGGCACCCTGCCGTCCCGCTGGGCACAAAGAGCACGTCCTGTTTTAAAAGACAATTGCTATAGGCCCAGCGCGTGTCAGCACAATTACAAAAAAGCATTTGCCTCACTGTCACATTGTTGGATTATCAAATGTCTAGATATCATCGGGGTTTGTGAAAATATTAGAAAGTTCACTGAAAACGCATTCATTGGAACTTGTGCCACAAACCCCATCTGCTTGCGACAAAGAACTGGTGGGATCACAAGCTGGAAAAAGTTACAGAAAATGAACATGTCAAACTCCTCTGGGACTTCCGGATTCAGACAGACAGAGTTCTGAAGCACAAGACTCCTGACCTCACAATCGTGTTAAAAGACAAAGTATGGATTGTCGATGTTGCAATCCCAGGTGACAGCGAGATTGAAGAGAAACAACTGGAACAGCTAACACAATATGAGGATTTAAAGATCGAACTGCAAAGATTCTGGCACAAGCCAGTCAAGGGGGTCCCAGTGGTGATCGGCACACTGCCTAAAGACCTTGGCCTGCACTTAAAAGCAATCAGCACTGACAAGATTACCATCTACCAGCTGCAGAAGACCACCTTACTGGGATCTGCATGCCTTATTTGCCGATACATCACACAATCCTAGACACTTGGGAAGTGTCCAGCGTGTGATCCAATACAACAGCCAGCAGAGTGACCTTGTTTGCTGTGGACTCGTCTTGTTGTGTTTCAAATAATCATCATCATCATCATAATTATCATCACATGCCAGGGACCCCAAGCCCGTACCAGAAGTGAGGGCCCAGGTCGATGGCTGGTGCGAAGGGCTTGTCGGTGACGATGGTGGTGCCGATGCCCGCGGCTTGGACGGGGATGATGCTGGACATGCTGTCCTCAAAGGCCAGGTGGACCTTGTCCTGGAAGAGCACCGTGTCGTTCAGGTGAGCGATGAGCAAGAGTGAGACCTCCGCCTGCGGAGGGACAATCCCGCTGCTGGGCTCGATCCGCCACAGAGAATGAGGCCGGGCCTGCAAGACAAGACGAGAGAGGGTTTTCGCCAGCGGGATCGGATCTGGGTTTTTTGGAGAGAGAAAGAGAGAGCGGAGGAAGGAATTGTCACACCTCAGAGTAGAATCACCTTACTTAAGACACCAAAAAGCACACAAGCAGTAGTCTTTATGGTTTATTAAAGTAAAAGATAAAAAGTTCCAAAAAGGCAAAAGTATAGTTCCAAAGATCAATACAAGGTAACACTGGAAAACAGGATCCACGAAGACACAAGCAAGGCAAAGTCTCATGAGAACATGACAAAGTCCTCAAACCATGAACATGAAAACTGCAAGATAAATCCTAAGTCTCTTGGCTGGAGTGAGAAGTTGCTCTGACACGGGGGTATTTCCAAACAGCCTGTTTAATACCCTTTGGAAAACATGAAGGCGTTCCTCTGGCCCTTGGCCTCCCTCTCTCTCTTGTTAGTGATTCTCACACTCCTTCGAACCTTAAATTCCAAACGATCAGCTCGATCTAAAGCTCCGGCCTCATCAAGGGCAATCTGTTCGTTAGTGCTTTCTTGCTCATTATCTGGCTGAGAACAACTGTCCTCCCTTCCTGAATCAAAATGCACCTGGCTCTCAGTAGTTTCATTATCAACAGCGTCATCCCTTGTTGTGGGAAACAACTGAACTTCTGCACCCTCCTCGTCTAACACAGGGACATCATCGCTTTGCACCTGACTGTGAATCTGAATCCCATCATCTGCATCAGAATCATTGACACTATCACTCTGAGATTCCAGCTGAGCCACAACAGGAATAAGGGCAGTCAAGGACTTTGCAGCAGTTATGGGGAAATATTCCCAGTGCCTTCAGGTCTTTTTCCAGCTCATTTTTCTCCAAATTCTGGTGAAAATCAGTTGGAGGTAAAAAAACAAATGCTAAATCCGCACTGCACAGCTATAACACTTTGGCACTGCTTTCACTGCCATAGTTCCATCCTGTGCAATTTTGGGATTTGCAGTTTCATAATTCTCTCATGAGCAACAGTAGTATGGATAGGCTATAGGATAAATAATAATAATAATAATAATAATAATAATAATAATAATAATAATAAATCTTATTTATGTTCTGCCCTATCTCCCCGAGGGGACTCAGGACGGATAACAGAACATACATACAATATATTATATTATTAGTGTTGCAACCCAGAGCAGAAAACGAGGCCCTAAGATAACTATCCACCACACTTGGCTGTGAAAAAAACAATAATTTTTTATTGATGAAAAATGGTTACAAAATAAAGGAAAAATGCAAAGTCAAAAGCCACAGCAAAATCAGCA